TATTATCCAGTCCGTTATTGAATCACCAAGTTTGAGGTGTAGTGTCACTGAAACATAAGCTTTCCTCACCCCATCCTACATTATTCCAAATACACCTGTGAGAACCCACACCCTCTCAAACATAATGAATGCCATGTGTCTTTGTCCATGCTTGACACAATCCCAATGTTTCAAAACTTAGTTTCAGGGCTCTTGATAATGTATGCATCAAAAATTCAAAAAGAGCAACGTCACTGAATATACATTCTGGAGATTTCGTTTCATGCACACAAAAGTGTAGATGCATTAAAGTTGTCATGCATAAATGGTTTGATTTTCTGCCGCATGTTTTATTTTATAGATTTTTTTTGTTTATTTTCATAGTTCATAGTGTCATACACAATATAACAATTTGTATAATGCATTTTAATAGTTTAAGAACAAGAGTTACATCACTGAAATAAATCATGAGATTCCAAGACTTTTAATTTAATTTAATTTAATTTAATAAGTGCTGTATAATCAATCGTTTTTTATTTAATTTAGTTTAATTTAGTTTTAAAGCCTTATTTATATGGAAAAGAGAAGTATCTTGTGTTTTGTGCTCACAAGTTAATGTCTTAAACTGCCGATCTTGTTACTATGCTAATTAATAGTGTTTTCACTATATTTTGGATATTGATATTCATTGCAGAGTTGCTGTCATACGGCTCGTTCACTGAATCGCTGGCCGTCTCAGTGATCCGCCGTAAAACAGTGATTCTGTCCTAATTCCCTTGCATATTAATGGTGGAGTTCCCTTTAAAATCTTAAATGATTCCCTTTGAGCTAAATTATTGACCTGTTTCCCTTACACAAGTTTATCATAGATATATAAGAATATTTTAATGGTGGATTTTAATAGTTTAAGATGCTTGAGGAACAAGGGTTAAAAGTCATTAAAATAAATAACGACTGCCTGAAATAAATAAATAAACATTTTATTTAATTTTATTTTTTCCATTGTTTGCTTTTATTGTTTCACTTACTATTAAAATTTTCCAGGACTTTTAAAGTGACCTGCTTTTATCTTATTATATATATATATA